ATAGTGTGACATCGGGGCAGAGGATTTCTAGGACAGAATATTTATATGGATTTGGTATTGTAATAAATGATTTTAAAATTGTAAACTCTTAAATTTTACCTTTCAAGTTTTATTTTTCAGTCATTTTCTTATATTGAAGAAAGAACAGTTTTGAAGTTTTATGTGAACCCTTTTACGAACCCTTTGAAAGTTTATTCTTCTTAATTAAATTATATTATATATGTGTTGGGGTAGTAAGGGTGTCACATGCTAGGCCACATGCTAGGCCATGTGCTTGGTTCAATTGTGCATTAAAGTTGCATTTAGATGTAATTTGGAGTTGATTTGGGATGACCCATGTGAAGCCACCATTGGCTTAACACATGTGAACCAAATGCAACCCAAATTCCCTCTAAATGTAACTTTAATTTTAGCAATTTTTCCTAATTAAGTTTTCTCTCTATTTTCCTATTCTAATAGCCTAAATACAATGACCTATCAAATACAAATAATAGAAAATAATAAAAGGAACAAAATGAGCCCAATATTAGGTACCAAAATACTCAAGGCCAATAAAGCCCAAAAATAGGTCCACTAAATCTATGGTCTAAAATCCTAATCTAGGTGGCCCAAAAATAAAAGACCAAAACATATAAATCCTACACTACTATGATATGTACAAATAAGGTAGGTTACTGTAAAGCCCATGTGAAGAGTACTCTGGACCCACCAAGCCCATTGGACCCACCAAGCTTTGAAGCAATCAAATCTTCCTGTATGTGGCACCAATCCGAGAGTCTTTTAAGTTAGTCCATGAGCAATCCTTTGCTCTTCTTGCTTAGGTGCTTCCTTCTCTAACCTTGGTGTGTCTTCAATCAATCATTTATGGAGTTTCAAGTCCAGAATCCAACCTCAAGGAGAAGATCTGTGCATTGGAGTAAGGAAAAAGAGGTTCCATCTTTACTTTACTTACCTCACTCCATCATGATGCTAGTGACGAGGGTTAGTCCTTGTTTGGGAAGTGCTTTGACAGGATATGTGACATTGGAATACAACTTGGAAATTTTCATTTTATTGTTATTTATTTTCTAAGAGATAATGTTAAATTTTTTGGTCAAGTTTTATTTTGATGACTTATTTATATATTGATAGGGGGAGTTTTTTATGTGCTATCCTCTACCCACCTTGATTTTACTCGGTTGAATTTTATGCATGAATCCAATTTTGAGTTAAGAAGCCATTTAGATTGATTATTATTACATGTGTGATAGAGGGTGTCATAGTCGTTTCTTTCTAACTTGCATAATATTTTTCATGTCTCTCAACTTTGAAAGTAGGTTCATGACCCTTCTCATGTTCTTGAATAATTAGACAACTTTAGTCAAGGTTGTTTGGGGAGGAAACACGGAGGAAAGTGTCACTTGGGAACTAGAAAGTCAAATGCGTGAATCTTTTCCTAATCTTTTTACTTTAGGTAATTTCAAGGGTGAAACAAAAAGGAAGCAAGAATTGTAACATCCTAAATTTTCTAAAATATTAAAAGGATATTTAATTAATTAAATAGGTTTTATAATTACATTAAAGAATTTTTAAATAATTATGAGTGTTTTTGTTGATTAAAGAAATATTTGTGAAATTATTTGTTATATTAATTATTATATCTATATTTATAAGTGTATTTTATTTTTTTAATGTGTTTTATTTATATATTATGGTTTTAATTATTTTATATATTTTATATATAAGAATTCTTTTAGATAAGGAACATAAATATCTCAAAATTATTTGATTTTAAGAGATATTATCTTATGCATTTATCAACTAGAATTTTATTTAATGAATTAGAATAGTAATATATTTTGATAGATATTTTAAGATAATTAGTTATTTATCTACTATTTTTAAAGATATATTCTTGATTTAATTGTTTTGATAATAGTAAGCATTAATCAATTGGATTTTTGTTGACGGGCCACGCATGGGGTAGGGTTTGCATCTATTTAAATATGTTGGTAAAATTAAGTTTTTCTCACTTCACAAAATTAACTCGTATGTCTGGTAATGAAAGAGTACTAGAGACTGCTAGAGAATAGCTCGGAGACCTAAACCTAGATCTTAGCATCCATGAAGGTAAGGGAAAGTGAGAATCTCACTCTGAGTGCGATTTATCTGTTGGGTAGAGGGATTAGTCCCTAATTCCTTTGTATGTATTTGATTGTGTGAGGAATTAAACTCAAAATCTTGTTGTGATTTTAATGTGTTTTTATTGTTGTCTTGTTTTCCAATTGCAATGTTGTATTCTAATTGTATTTTTGATCTATAAAATTTATATTTAAACATAAATCTATGAGTGTCTATGAATTCTCTTTAACATTATTTTTTTTATTTAAGGTTTGGTTTTGGGGATTTTGTTTTGTTTGTTTTCTATGGATTTTGTGTTGTTGTGACTTGAGTTTAGATTTGGATTCCCTTATTTGTTTATTTAAACCTAAAATTTTGGATTTGGATTTTCTTTTTATTGGTTTTTTATTAAAACGGTGGTGTCGTAATGCGAGAGAGGAACGTGAACAAAATTTTAAATCGTAATTGTGGAGTCATCAAATACTTTGGTAACAATTTAATGTGACTTTGAAAAATTTGATGTTTCCAAAATCATTTATTTGTTTTAATCGTTAATGTCCCTATACATGATATTCCTTGTTTTTTTTAATGTTTTAATGTTTCAAAAATATTTGGTGATGTGGATTCCTCAAAATCTTAGGGGGAAAATAAATGTGATTTTAGAGATTTCAAAATCCTCGATGTTGTGGTCTTATTCTCGTTTTGGTCTTCTATTTAAAATACACTAAATTTTTGCATGATATAGTCTTGTTAGTGAGTAACATACTAGGGTTGAAATTTGTAATATTTTGAAGTATGTGATATGTGATAAGTAAAGTGATCATATGAAAAAGTATACGTACAACTTAATAGGGATGTGATTTTTGTGAAATGTGAAATTGTGTGATTTGCATGAATATGCATAGTCAAGTATGTCATTCATCATTTGTATAACACGTTTTGCGATGGATATGATGCCTAATACAATATTAGGAAACATCCTTTTGTGTAAAATCTTGAGGATTAGTGTTTGAGGATAGTTTGGTTTGGGAAATCTTAGTCTCGTCCATTGTGTGCATGAGACATATATATCGTATACGACTCAATTATCTTAATGAGATCCTCGTAATATGTCCTTCTAATAAGAGTGTTGTAATGGCTTGACCTAGCATGTATTCCTAGATTACTTAGTCTTCGAATAGGGATAAAGCGTTTTACTAGCACCACATGCATATAGTTAGGAAAGTCTAGTCCTTGCATAATCATAGCATGTTATTTGTATTGGAATTATAATGTGGTTTATGTTGTAATGTGCTAAAATATGAATTGTGGAGTAGTGTTTCGATTGTTATTCTATGTTTGTATGTGGATTGATTAACGTTATGAATATTTTATTTAAGTGTTTTTGTTTATGTGTGGTTACCCGACCTTATATATCCTACATTGGGAGTCAAAGTAAGATATTTCTCACTCCTTTATTTTTCTTGTGGTTTTTTTCATGTGTGATTGCATGAGATTTCCTTTTTGGGGTGTTCAGTTGATGGAAAAGGAAGCTTTGATACTTGTGACATCCTGGTTACAAGGGATATATATGGCTTTACATTTTTTTGCACTAGAAATTTAGTTTATTTCTTTTAAATTTTGAATTTGACTTTTTACCTCTATTTTGAAATATTTAATACAATATTCTTTTTATTAAACATGAGAAGTAGAGGGTATCACAAACAAATAGAACCATAAAAATTATTAATAAGCCGTCTCCAATATTCATTTTGCTTAACTAATTAAGAAGAGACTTTGATAACTTTAGCCAAATCTTTGGGATAAGAGAATGAGAAGTTAGGAACATGAGATTTTGAATTCATTATCTCCAACCTACAAAATAAAGAGGTATTAAAATCATAATGTAATCTTTTAAATTAGTACTTAAGGAACATCCAAATGAAAAAGAAAAAAAAATATAAGAAATAGTAATTCGTTATCAAAGCACTATTAAAGAGTAAGTGATCTAAGATAACAGTTATTATATGAATGATAAAATAAAATATTTTACAAGTGGTTCATTAAAGAATACTTTCCATACATCACATCATTGTAAAATTCTAGTGTAAATTCGTTGGATTAATGTGGAGAATCAATGTGAGATGCAGATTTAAATTAAGGAAAGAAAAAATGACAATAAAACAATACTAACCTGTAATTAAGGAGAAAATAGTGTAAAAATATAGTAGTTTCGAGATTGGATATGTCTTTTCCTGGACAAAGCCTGCTTCCACCTCCAAAGGGAAGGAAGGTTCCTGCTGTAGCATTGTAATTCTGCACATAATGATACACACAAAAGATATTTGTAAAAGTGATCCAAAATGGTTCAAAATAGGTTGTACAATATAAAACTTACATCCCATCTTGATGGATTAAACTCTTTTGGATTTGGGTAATATTCAGGATTCATATGAATAGCTCTTAACCAAACTAGAACTTTCCATCCCTTCTGTATGATATAACCTGAAAATATTGAGTGAATGACAAAAGTTTTTATTGCTATTTAATAACAAGAGGTAATTAGAAATAAAGAATTTATATATACTATAATATATTTGCAATAATATAAACAACCTTTGACATTGACATCAGCAGTTGCCTCTCGAAAAATTGCAAAGGAAATATTAGTAAGACGTAACACTTCATTAATTACCTGCAACAAGGCATAACAAGATTCAATGTCTTATTTGTTTGATATATTTTCTTTGAATATGTTTGAGATTAAGTATTCTTTTCAATGTAAAATACGTGCAATAAATACGCCATTTTAATAATTTACTTACTTGTGAAAGATAAACCATTTGCTTAACTTCGCTATGACTTAGATGTTTCTGCGATGGCGGTCTTGCCTTCACTATTTCTTCTTGCTCTTGCTACAATATATAAACAATATATAGATTAACTACAATATATTAACAATATATAGGTTAATTGCGTTATTTGTTTTCTATAAACTTTGATTTATGTAAATATAAAGCACAAGATTCTATTAATAAACAGAATTAAGAATCATCCTTTAAGAATATTCATTATTAAAAAGCATAGAATTAAGAATCATTCTTTAGGAATATTCATTGTAACTATAAAGGGAACTTAGAGTTTCTTAGTAATTAGTTTTTTTCTTTCTATCTATTTTATTTTTTGTTAATTTGTTATGACTTCCCAAACTTATATATAGCCTCGTCCTCACTTGTAAACATAAATATTGGAAATACATTCAGTTTCATATTCTCTTTGTTTTTCCTTTCTCTCTTTTAATCTTAAAATCAATGGCTTTAATTACCCAATCCTCATCCTCTCCTTTAACAATGATTCCAGTTTTCATAAAACTGAATGATGAAAATTTCTTAACCTGGAACATGCAAGCATTAGGAACAATTCGAACACATAAACTACAAAAGTTTCTTGACCAAATGATCTTTATGTGGCTCTTAGCATCTATGTCTTCTAATCTTTTGCAGGTTTATTTTAAATCATAGACTCGTGCAAAGGTGAATCGGCTAAAAACGCAACTCAAAGGTATCAATAAATCTACATCTTTGAATCAATATCTTCTTTCTATGAAGAAAATCGTGGATACCTTATCCTCTATAGGTTCCCCTATTGATTCCTCTGGAACATACATGCCAATCTTGCTCAGATTCATAGCAGATTTGGCAGACATCAAGGTGGAAGGTTTCAAGTGATGGAGGATCATCCTTGGAGCTACATGTGGGACCCATCACTAGGTCCATTCTAGGAGAGTGGAAGAAGATAGGGGAGTTAACACCCCTAGAGACATGCTCCTTATGCTTATAGATAATTCTCCTAAGCCTTGTTAGTATAAGATTTATTTTATTCCTATTTTGCCCTTGTCTTTAATTTCTTATTTTACCCTTGTATTGTAGGTACCTTGGATAGAGAATTTATTTTATTTGTATTTCCTATTTACCCTTATATTTTGAGATGTCTTAATTAGAGGATTTATTTTTACTTGTAATTCCCATTTTAACCTTGTATTTTGGGATGCCTTAGGTTATAGGATTTTATTATATAGCTAGGGAATTATGATAGGAGTAGAAAAGTGGCCTATACATGTTTTTGGTGTTTATTGGAGTTATTTTTGGACTTGGAAATGCTTAGGCCCAAGAGGAGGGCACCTAGGTTGTAGCTTAACCAAGCCAAAGATTCCATCCTTGGCCACCAAGAAAGCGTGACATGTAGGGTTAATTTGGCATGGGTTTGTGTTTCATTTCCCTCACATTTAGCATGGAAATGTGCACACTCCTAAGCCTAGCCGTCACCCTAGCATGACTACCCATGACCTCACATCCTAATCTATATATACCCTAGGCTATGCTCCATGTATTCACTTTGGATTATTATGATATTGAGTGAGCATTTCATGCCTCAAAATCCTATCCTTAGTCATTAGGTTAGTTTTGGCCAACCTTCTCCTATCTCCACCCTTGGAGAGTGAAAACCCTAGAGTAGCCTCTACCTTCATTTGGAGTAAGCCAACCTTATCATAAGAGCCTCCACACTTCACGCCCTCTTTCCATCTTCCCTTGAATGTCCACTTTCTTCTGTGACTAGAAGATCCTTGGTGTTCTATGATCCTTGGAGCAAGGTGACCATTCCATTGAAGCATACATCTATCAATGGAGAGTGGTTTCCATCATTTTGGTATCTAGAGCCAAGGTTCATCAAGGGTAACTTCTATTTTTTGGTCTTTCTTCATTGTATTCGGTCATGTCAATGTCTTCTTGCTTGTCTTATTGTTTGGCTGAATAGATAATCAAAATATATGTTCATATGATCTATGTGTCTTGTCTTGAGTTTTGGTTCATTTTATGCATTCTTATGAACCTTCATAGTTTAGGTGGTATTCATCCTTTTCGCTTTTAGGTTTTGAGTTGCATATGAACATGAAGAATATGCCATGAACATGCTTTTTGATTTTGAAATCCATCCAAGTTTTGTCTAGTCTTGTTATTCCTTTTGTCTACAAAATTCTATGTATGTATGCCAAACACTTAGCATGAATACATGAACAAAAAAATTTATGATGCATAGCATAAAGTGGGCGTGACATTTAGAAGCCTTTAGGTGTCATTCATGCATGCTATTTAGTCCTAGCATCTTCCATGTGTTTTTGAGCATCCATGTGTAATTTGATTCCTTGTTCGTGCATTCAATTTGCAACCCACTTTTCCTTGCATTTCCACTTGAATTTGGTCAATATTTGATGCTTTGCTATACCTAAAAGAATCTAAGAGATTTGCTGGAAAAATTTTGCAAAACAAATTGTACTATATAGTACAAGAAACTTTCCACTCAAGATACCCTAAACACCTCTAAGAATCCTCCACTTGTCTTCTTCTTGTTTCTCCAAAATTTGACCTAAAATCTAACCATACACAAGTGCAAATGTACAAGGTAAGGTGCCTTACGATGGAGACACAAAAATGAAGATGACAAATGGAGAAACCTCTTTTATAAAAAAAGTATAGGTACTTTTTTCTTTTTTCCTTCTAATTCAATTTCACCTCTTTTTCTCAACAAATTATTACATGTACTTGCTATAACAAAGAATTTGCTTAGTGTTTCCCAATTTGCTAGGGACAACAATGTCTTATTTGAGTTTTTTTCCTGACAAGTGTTGTATCAAATCTCAGGCAACTAGGAAACTCCTACTCGAGGGAAACTTAAGACATGGACTTTATACATTTGATGATATTTCTCTTATTACAAGTCCTTGTACATTTGTTCCTACTAACGTAACTTCATGTAATTCTATTTCATCTAGTATCTCAGTTGATAATAGTACTAATAATGCTACCAAACTGAGTTTGTACAAACTATGGCACTCCAGATTAGGGCATGCCAATTGAAAAATAATCCAACATGTTCTATAGAATTCTAATATTTATGTGCCTAGAAATTCTACTTTTAGTGTATGTAAAGCATGTTGCTATGGTAAATGTCATAATCTGCCCTTTTATTCTTCTAAAGCAACATATAATAAACCTTTGCAACTAGTTTTCTCTGATACATGAGGACCTACACCTATACCTTCATCAAATGGAAACAAGTATTATATCCACTTTCTTGATGCTTATTCCAAGTATACATGGATTTATCTAATCCAATTTAAATCTCAAGCTCTTTTATGTTTTATGCATTAGAAAATGATTGAGAATCAATTAGATATGAAAATCAAATGCTTACGAACAAATGGTGGCAAAGAATATACTATTTTTTCATGTTTCCTAAATGAGCATGGCATTATACATAGGCTTAGTTGCCTTTACACTCATGAAAAAAATAGGCCAGTTGAAAGAAAACATAAGCATATTGCTTAAGTAGGTTTATCCATGCTTGCAAATGCATCTATGCCTCTAAAGTTTTAGGGTGAAGCTTTCTATTCTGTTGTTTATATTATTAATTGACTACTTACACCTACCTTGAGTTATTGTACACCTATGGAAACTTTTTTTTCAAAAAACCCTGATTATCATCTCTTACGGATATTTGGTTGTGCTTGTTACACTAATATGAGACCTTATAATAAAAACAAACTTGAGTTTAGGTCTCAAGAATGTGTTTTCCTAGGATACACATCTAATTATAATGGATATCTTTGTCTATCCAAAATAGGTAAGGTGTTTATATCTGGACATGTAATCTTTGATGAGGATTTGTTTCCTTTTGTAGTAAATCCTAAATTTCTAGAGGAAAATGATTTTGCAGCTGAGGTCACCACACCTACCCCTTTACCTTGCATACCTATATCACAAAATTCTACATATATACAACCAGATACTTTAGCAATACCACCATAATCTTCACCTTCTAACCTTGAACATAACCAACCAGCAACTTCTTACCTACCACCACCACAAATTTCCCACCAGCCACACCACCTTGCCCTTCAAATACTCATTCTATGATCACTAGAGGAAAATATGGAATTAGGAAACCTAAAGTACTGAATGTATCAACTAGTTCTCCCAAACCAAAAGATGATATCTTCATTGAGCCAAAAACAATCAAGATGGAATTTAATATACCACACTGGAAACAAGCAATGGATACAAAATATGAGGCATTGCTCAAGAACAAGACATGGAGCTTGACCAAACTACCTCCAGGTTGTAATCTAATTGGCTGCAAATGGGTCTACAAAGTTAAAACTAATGCAGATGGAAGCTTAAATAGGCACAAGGCACGCCTTGTTGCTAAGGGATTCCATCAAAGAGATGGATTTGACTTTCATGAAACCTTTAGTCCTGTAGTTAAACCAACAACAATCAGAGTTATGCTTAGTATAACTCTTACATAGGGATGACATCTTAGGTAGCTAGACATTGCAAATGCCTTCCTCAATGGTGACCTTCATGAAAAAGTAAATTTACGTCGGACATGACAAGGTCTGACGTAAAAAAGTCATAAAAAATTTTAAAAAATAAAAAGAAAAATAAGTGCAAGCAGAACGGCCCGTTCTGCTTGGAGAACGGCCCGTTCTTCTTGAGAGACCCAGGAGTGCGTTCTCCAAACCCGGACTTGGTCACTTCCTTCTCCTTCTCCAGCTTCAAAAACTCGAAATGCAACACAAACATTATTACGAAAAAAACATCTCAGAAAACCCAAACTTGATGGAAGATGCTACCTCATAGAACCTCGCAGAAAAGCCCATGACCACGCGAAGAAGAAACAGAAGAAGGTGCAGATGAGGAGGACAACCACGATTTGAGGAGGAGGCGGAGGGATGAGGAAGAAAAACAGAAGAAGGAGGAGGAGGCGCGGGAGAAGGAAACCATGAAGATTTTGAAATTTAGCTAGTGCGCGCTCACCTTTTAACAGGTTCTGTGGATTATTTATGTCGGCCCTAATTGGG